GTCATTCTTCTAGAGGGCTCGCATTTCTTCATTCATGACTTTTTTCTATTTTGAGTCTTCTAGTATTTCATTCACACTATTTTTGGACAAATATATCGGCCAACTGCTTCACAAAGTGTTCATGCGACTTTGATAATCTGCTTAGAAATATATAATTATTAATGAGATATTTCTCTTTTGCTTTAAGATCTGATTGTACTGTACTCTAGGTTTACCACGGTTCTTCCTTTCTGAAAGCTGATAAATAAGGCTATCTGTATGCTTTATTTTTTTTTAAATCAAATCATCATGGTATATTTCATTAGTGTTATCAGTTTCATGGGGATATGTTACCTTAATGCCTTCCTCAGTAGGTGATTGGTGTAGTACTAGAGTTGAAGGTAGGTCCGAAGTGCACAAAATCTCATAAAACAATTCAATTTCCTCCTTCTAATTTTGACAGCGTGGAGTTGACAGGTCGTTTTGAAACTGAGGCACTACCCATGAAGGAATAAAGGGAGGCGACAAGTCGTTTTGAGGCAGAAACTTGTCCTGCTGACAAAAATCTAGAATCTTTGAAGTGTTAGATTCTAGATTCTCCTCATGTGTTGCTAAAAAATATATGTCGTGTTCTCGGAACACGACATCCATGGTGGTATATACCTTCTGACTTGAAGGGTGATGATATCGGTAGCCTTTCTGATGAGAAGTATAGCCAATGAAAACACACTTTTCTGCTCGGGGATTTAATTTGCTTCGTTGGTGATCATGTAAATGTACAAATACGACACAACCGAAAATCCATAGTTCAAGGTTGAGGGTGAAAGATATTTGGATATGATGGTGAAGTGTTTGAAGTGGTGTTTGGAAATTCAAGATACTAGAGGGAATACAATTGATAAGGTAAGCTGCAGAGAGGACGACCTCTCCCCAAAAATGATCAAGACATATTGGCATCAAAGAGAGAGGCACGAACTACTTCCAATAAATGTATGTTCTTTCGTTCAGTCACCCTATTTTGTTGGGGAGTGTATGGACATGAGCATTGATGTATGATGTCATAATCCTGTAAGAACTTGTTAAGATATCTTGGTTGAGAAATTCTCCGCCATTGTTAGAACTAAGAACCTGGATTAGGGCTTGAACTGTGTTTCCACCATTTTATGGAAATGTTGAAATTTTAAACTGATTTCCCCTTTAGTTTTGAGAAAGGAAACCCAAGTCATGCGTGTGCAACCATCTATAAACGTGACAAACCTTCAAGCTCATGCCAGAGTGGTAATGTTTGCAAGTCCCAAAACATCAAAATGAACAAGAGAAAACGGAACCAAACTTTTATTTGAACTTAAGGGAAAAAGAACAAGATTGCTCTTGGCCAGTTCACAAATGTCACACTTAAAACTTGAAATATCTAAACTGGTGAATGAGGATGGAAATAATTTATGTAAATATCCAAACGAAGCATGACCTAGATGCCTATGCCATAACCATACTTCGTCAGTTTGTTTCTCAACACTAGCTCTTCCAATCTTGAAAGCTTGACCAACTATGGCTTCACTGTTAGGCACCAAGTCTAGGTAGTAGAGTTTTCCCCTCCTAGTACCACAACCAATCGTCTTGCTGTTGAGAATGTCCTGAAAAACATAATGAGTTGGTCAAAAGGTTACAATGCAATCCAAAGCCGTAGTAATTTGGGCAACAAATAATAGATTATGGTGTAAGGATGGAACTATCAACATATAATCCAAATTGACGGAGTCTTAGAGAGAGAGAGAGAGAGAGAGAGAGAGAGAGAGAGAGAACCTTCCACAATCACAGGGAAAATGGTACCATTAGCAGTATACACCATCGATTGAGGAGACAATGTATAAAAGATAATTTGTCAAAGATCAAATGTCATATGGTCAGTTGCTCCTGAGTTAATGATCCATGTGTTTTTCTTGGATGAAGTATTTAAAACATAACATTTGGTACCTGTTGTGGTAATAAAGGAAAATGCTGGAGCCGATGTAGCCAAAACAGCAGGACTTACATGATCTAATTCGGAAGATGTGTTGAGTGCTTTGCTCTTATTCATCTGGGGAGCTTTGGAGTGGTCCCACCAATCAGGGTACCCAATCAATTCGTAACAGCCATTACATGTATGTTTGTCTCCTCCATAATGGGTGCACTTCTTCTCTGGACGAGATCCTGAGGCCTTATTCTTAGAAGAGCCACCGGTAAAAGTCTAGGGCCCCCTTTGACATTGAGTTACCACTACGAAAGTTTCCTTAGCACCAGTCATAGTCATTCTCTGTTAAGCTTCACGACGAACATAGGCAAAGGTTTGATCGAGGTCTAATTTAGGATCTTTGCATAGGATTTTCCCCCTGACTTGATCAAACTCAGGGTCAAGACCGGCAAGAAAAATGTGAACATGAAGACGATCCAATTCTGTCTAGCGCTCAGTCATATCGGCGGCACAGTGCATGCGGATGGGACTCCGATAGTCAATTTCTTGAAAGATGCCCTGCAATGTATGCACCATTTTGTTTAATAATGAATCCCCGTTTGTTGAGATCCAAAAGATAAGTTTCATCACCACCTCATAGTAGGTTTTCTTAACGGCAGCCTAGATTTCTTTGGCAGTACTTAACTGGATGAAACGACTCATCAAGTTAGGAGACATGGAGTCGATTAACCACTCATTGAGTCGAAATTTCTCGGTACACCATTTGTTGTAGGTGGGCGAGAGCTCATGAGGCTTTGGAGTGTCACCGATTAGGTAACTTAATTGTTTGTGTGCAACAATGCTCTTCTCCATGACTTGAGACCATAAGGCATAATTGATCTCGGTGTCAGGGAGTGAGGAGTTGTCACTTTGAATAGTAATGATTTGAGGAGTGTGCATGGAAGATCCTCCATTGATCAAAAGTAAGACGTCGCCCATTGCAGCGGAACGATTTGAGGGTAATATAAAGGTATGTGTTTAGGGAGTTTGATAAGAGGATTTGATTTGAGAGTTTAGGATTTGGATTTGAGGAATTTGATTTATAGTTTGTGTTTGAATTTGAGGGTATGATTTGAGGGCTTAGAGACAACCTATGATCGATTGCTTTGATACCATGCTAAAATATGAATATGGTTTGAATACTTTAGGTTAATTGTATTCTTCTCCGTAATGAGATATATAGGAGTTTACAATGGTGCTTTATAAAGAAATAGATAAAGTAATTAATTAGGAGAATACAATATGTGTCAACTATATGAAATAAGGAAGTAAATCACCTAATAACTTAGGAAATAAATCTCATTGATTTAGTAGGTTAACTCATGTCAACATTTCTCACACAAACACCACACAACACAATTATGATGCCCTAGGAATTCAAACTTAAGACCTCTGCACTACAAATCAAGATCATTTTTCACCCGTTGGCACAATTAATTACTTAAATAAGTAAGAACGTGTCCCATAAATGAAACGAAGGTAAATACGTGAACAATTTGTAGGCCTATTATGATCAGATAATTGTTTTGGATTAGGCGTTGATTAAAACACCTTAAGTTTAGCTTTCAAATGACCACAAATGTGATGGTAAAAAAACTAGGATCATCAACACCATCATCAATTGTTTCACTTAACCTTTTTTCTTATGTATTTTGAATACATTCGTGTACTTAAACAAGTAAAAACGTGTCCCGTAATCATAAATTTAAAAAAAAAGAAGGTAATCTAGTAGGTGAACCAAATACTTAATCAAGATTAAGCCAACACAACCTCAACTAAGCTTCTTTATTTTTGGGTCAAAACCTCGACTAAGCTAAGCTAAGCGCACCATTCACAGAACCTGCGCATTTGGCAGAGAAAGTAAACAAAAGTTACAGTGAATATCTGATTAATTCCATCCAGTTCAGAAACACACAAGAGTATGACGAACATCCACGTCAACACTAATTCGCCATATTACCATTTTACGCTTCGAAAATACAAGCGCATTGATGACTACTACCATATGTTTCCCAGGAGAGAAAATTCAAAAGCCCCTCACCAAATAAACAAACCAATCGTTTTGCAATAATAGGTAGGTTGAATCTACATGACAACTTCGAATTACGTCAGCTTTTGGGCCTGGTCAGGCCCAAGTTTGACTCTTTGAGATATCTGACCTGTCACCTGTGGGCCCTCTAATACGCATGTATTTGGTAGAGTGTATATAAATGAGACAGTGTCAGCAAAGAAGACCTAGCTAGCTAAGGCCACCTCCACCATGCACAGCTAAGACCTTCGCATATTACCATCATCACACTCACAGTCTTCTTCTTGTTTTGATTTGTAAAACAGAACCCACTTCCTTTTATAAAGAGATAAACCCCAATCTCCTCCCCAGGAACCAAAATAACCAAGAAAGCAGTCGTCGGTCATGGCTTTCATTTTCAAGAACCTCTCTTTATCATCCTCCGTTTTCTTCTACGCCATCCCCCTCTTATTGTCTTATCTCTTCATGGTTTCCCACTCCCAGTACTTGACCAATCCGACCCCGTTCTCTTCCATTAATGCTACTACCAGTAACGTCTCCGCCGGGGGGCAGTGGGTTCTTCTCCACAAAAGCATCGGAGTCTCGGCAATGCACATGCAACTCCTCAAGAACGACAAAGTCATCCTCTTCGACCGTACGGACATGGGCCCCTCCAACTTCTCCTTCCCCTCCGGCACCGGCTGCCGCAAGTACAACGACACCCACCACCGCAACAGAACCATCACAGACTGCACCGCCCACTCCCTCCAATACGACATCATTTCCGGTAATATCCGCCCCCTCTACGTCAGCTCCGACACCTGGTGCTCCTCTGGGGCATTGGACCCCAACGGCATACGCCATCATTGCGGGTAATCCACGCCCCCTCGACGTCAGCTCCGACACCTGTTGCTCCTCTGGGGCATTGGACCCCAACGGCACCCTCATTCAGACCGGCGGGTATGGCTCGGGCATCCGAAAAATCCGCACAGTCGCCCCTTGCGACGACGGAAAATGCGAGTGGACCGAGCTCCCAGTCAACCTCGCCGACGGCCGCTGGTACGCCTCCACCCAAATTTTGCCCGACGGACGCGTCATCGTCGTCGGAGGGCGGAGAGCTTTCTCCTACGAGTTCTACCCCAAGACGGACGACGTGTCGTCCAAGAGATACTACCTCAGCTTCTTGGCAGAGACCACCGACCCTTACGAGGAGAACAATCTTTATCCCTTCTTGCATCTCTTGCCGGACGGCAGCCTCTTCATCTTCGCCAATAACCGGTCAATCTTGCTTGACTATAAACAGAACCGGGTCGTCAAGGAGTTACCGGTTATACCCGATGGCATCAAGCGGACCTACCCCAGCACCGGGTCCTCGGTGCTCCTCCCGCTAAAAATGAAAGGGTCTTTAGACGGGTCGGATAAACCCGAAGCCGAGGTGCTGATATGCGGCGGGTCGCCGCCCGGTGCGTTTAACATGTCGAATTTGAACCGAGTCTTCGTCAGTGCCTCCAACAGCTGCGGCCGGATCAAGTTGACCGACCCGAATCCGAAATGGGTCATGGAGGAAATGCCCATGCCACGTGTCATGTCCGACATGCTTCTCCTTCCCACGGGCGACGTCATCATCCTCAACGGAGCGTCAAACGGAACGGCGGGGTGGGAAGACGCTGCGAACCCGGTCTTCAACCCGGTTTTGTATAAAACCTACGAGCCCGACCCGAATCTCAGATTCGTTGTGCTCAACCCGTCCAGCACTCCCAGAATGTACCACTCGTCCGCTTTGCTTTTGCCAGATGGCAGAATCCTAGTGGGCGGGAGCAACCCGCACGAGGTGTACAATTTCACGGCGAGACCCTTCCCAACCGACCTCAGCTTGGAGGCCTATCAGCCGCCGTACCTGGGCCCGCTTTTGGCCGCATTGCGTCCTTCGATCTTGACCATCGAAGCGAGGGACGGCATCGTATCGTACGGTCAGATGTTTTCTGTTACGTTTATGTTATCCGTGTACCGGGCCGATCCCGGGATTTCAGTGGTCCTCATAACGCCGTCGTTTACGACTCACTCCTTCTCCATGAATCAGAGGATGGTGGTTTTGGACGTGGCGCGCTTGGAGAACTTGTCCGCGCTTGCTTACAAGATTGCTGCGTATGGCCCACCGAAGACCACGGTGGCCCCACCTGGGTACTACATGCTTTTTCTTGTCCACGCTGGCACTCCCAGCCACGCTGTGTGGGTGAAGGTGCAGTAATTTGGATTTGGTGTTAGGACTTTAGGAATTCTTTGGGGTATAGATTACCAAATTTTGAATGAAATTTTTTAAAATTACTTTTATTTTATATGTTAAGAATTGTAATGATTACAGTAATGCTAATGAGAATGATGGGGGACGAGAGAAATGGAATCAGTTAAAGAATTATCGTGTGATTTGACTGAGAATTACTGTGGGATTTAATTACATTAATTATAAACAGTAATAATGTAGTCAGTTAAGAATTTTTTTGACCAGCTCAACGTTTTATCGCGTGACCAAACGAATTGATCTTCACATGCAGGTTTTTAATTGGTCAAGCAACAACTATAGGAAAGCATTAAAACAGGGTTTATTTACCCCTGGTAATTAGCAATCTGAACATTACTACCTTTTTTATTTTTTCCTTTCTTTTTTTACGAAACAGTATTCTAAACTATTTTAATGTAGGGAAATCAAACTCGGGTGCAAGAGAGTAAGCTTACTGTCCTGACCAATTGGTCAAACCCACATATATATTTTTCTATTTTGTAGTCACCCCTTTTCTATTAATCCATCCTAGTTCTAGATGATTCAACTAGTCACCCCTTTTTGTAACTAGCCTAATATAGGAATTAAGAAGCAGAGGTTGGCTCTGGTTGCTTGCAACAAAAACACTGGTCATCTGCAAATGGCACATCGCACATGATGCGTTGCCAATCTGACAAAGATGAACCAATTTACTATTTTATATTATTACAGAGAACTGAGGATTACAAGATATAAACTGTTCTTAGATCCCATTTCTGTGCAGGCCCTAATTGGCCCAAGATTTGATCTTCCTTGCACTGCAAGGCAACGAAGATGCAGCGTTTACAGCCCAAGTAGTTGTCTGACAAGTTGAGAATACATCCCAAAACTCTGTTTTACTTTACTTATTTGGTCTTCCTGGTCCGTATTTGTATCTGGTGGCCCAGAAAAGGTAGTGTAAGAAATTTAATCCACTGAGAACACACATGAGCCAGTAGAATCTCTCAAGATGGTAATGGTTTAGGTTGCTTCCAGAGAGCCATTTGTGCTTGGAGTATTTGCCTGAAACATCGTTAACTACAGAAACAATCACTGAGCTAAGATAATACCCCATGGCCAAAGATGCCCAGGTAAGAGATGTGGCCAAAGATCTCATGCTTGTTGGTGCTTCTGTGAAGAAAAATTCCAACAGTCCAGCCAATGTGAAGAGGTCTGCAGACCCAAGGAACAAGTACTGAAGTGCAACCCAAAAGAATGTGATGGGCAATGGCTCTTTCAAGTCGAGTAGCCCCGAGTTGGAAGCAACTCGCTTTCGCTTAATCTCGACAAGAGCTGCTATTGCCATTGCAATGATGGACAGAGCTAAACCGATTCCGATTCGTTGCAAGTGAGTGATCCCCATTTCGGATTTTGTCGATTTTCTTGCAAATGGGATGATGAAGAAGTCATAGACTGGTGCTAGGATCATGATGAAGAGTACAGGGAAAATGGGGAGAGAAGCTGGTGGGACTTTCAAAGAACCAAGCTTGGTGTCCATGGTTGCAGCTTGCTGGACAGAGAATGTTGAGAGCTGAGCTAAGCAGCAATTGAGCATGATGGTGCAAGCGAATATGGGGAGGATTTTCAGCACAATTTTGACTTCTTCTACTTGTTGCAATGTGCATTCTAGTGCCTTATGCGCTGGGTTGTTCACCTGCACTGCTCTGTTTAGGAATTTGAGGCTTTGTGTTGGGGCTTGATCTTGATCATCAGCAGTGGAAGCCTCCTTCTCCGTGGCGTTTCCTTCTTGGATTGCTTTGCTGGTTGTGGTTGGAGAAGAAGGGGTTGGGGCCATGCTTGCAATGGCATTGCTTGGACTTTTGGTCATACAACTGTGAAGTGTTGCAGCAATCAAAACCTACGACAACAACAGCAAAATGAACAAGCAGAAGCTAAATTAGTTTACTTGGGAGTCAAGGATGATTGATTAGTTTTCTGGACATGATTGTCTATATGATGTGTATGAGATACAAAGGGCTTATGATTGAATTTGAAGAACATTAGAATATTAGAGGGGCTAAATTACTTGAAGAACAAAAATGATCTGCCATGGACATATATATTTGTCATCTTTGGCTTACCTTCAAAATTGTTGTCAGTGGACTTCCACAAGGTATCTTGTTCCTGTAAAGAGTGGAGCCAGCAAGAAAGACCGGTATAGACAACAATATGCTAATAGTTGCAATTCCAAAACCCCATTCCCATCCTTTGTTGTCCTCAATCCACACCACCAGCGTCACCGCAATTAGGCCTCCGCAAGCGAGGCAGAATACATAGTAGTTGAAGAAGGTTGATCTCTGCTTCCTTCCTTGTGGGGTGCTCTCATCGAATTGCTCAGCTCCATGTGAAGGTAAGGAGCCCTTTATCCCTCCAACACCCAACGCCACCAGATAGAGGCCTATGAACAGCAGGGCAGCCTTTCCACCTTCAACTTCTTGGCATGGATTATTGAGGCTGTCTGGACTGCATGTTGGTGGCTTCAGTGAAGGTAAGCGAGCTTGCACTGTGAGCATGATTAAACCCTGTAACAAATGTTTGATATTAAAATTGTTAACAATAAGTCATGTAAAATTTAAGCAGTTAACTTATGATAAATTGTGCAAAGGAAAAGTTTGGTTTTATACTTGGTACTTAATTTGGGCTGCCCAGAATAGCCTCAAAAGTTGATCCAGACCAACATACATAGACATATGTTGTTGGGCCTTTGTCCCATCATCTAAAATATAGAACATGGAAAGCTCTAAATAACGGGGTCCACAACTTTTGAACTTAGGTACTAGATAGCGGGTTTACTGTGCTAATCAACTGACATAACCCACGTTTGGACCAAGGTTAATAGTTTTTAAGCTTCTCCTTCTATTCTATCTAACACTCAACAGTCAACACATAATCCAAAGGGCAAACAGAGGAAGAGTCTAGCTAGTTTGGTTGGGCATCACAAAATTGGGTCCCCAAGCCACATGTTGATTCCCGATTCAAATTTTGGACGCTATCGCATGAACAAAGACTTCTCATCAGAAATGTCACTACGCATGCAGTAATGTTCTTGGGGTCTTATTATCCTATATATCATAGTTGATGGCTCTAATTTGATGTACTTTAAAATATATAAAAATCGTTGCTCTATTTGCCTCTGGCCCTCTTATCAAAACTGTAGCCACACACGTGGTTCGTGAACTTGGATGGGAAAAACCAAAACAAGGAAATTTAATGTAGATATGGATTTTTCAGCTACTATATATGTGATTGGTATACCAAAAATTACCATAGTTTAGACGACACTACGACTTGTGGTACAACTATGTCTCCCAAAACTTGGACATACGTGGGTTAGATAGAAGATCAGGCAGGGAGGGAGGAGTGCGTACGTGGCAGAATTTGAGCCAGCATATTGCATGAAGCTGGTGCACTATTGGGTGATAATAGTAAGATCTTATCATGTACGGGTGGTTTAGCAAAGAGAAGGCTTGGAAATGTTATCATGTATGCCATAGCATTATTTGTCGAAAATAGCAAAATAGTATATGTATTTTTCGGAAGGGAGAATGGAGAGGAGGACAAAGGTAGATGCATGCATTGCTGTCAAGCTGAAATTGAGGGATCGAAGTTCTCATTGTCATTGGCATGACATGAGACAAACACATAATTGACCTCCCCAAAAAAAAGAAAGACAAACACTCTAATTGGCTCTACGTTGCATGAGTTGTATATGTGTGAAATACGATTTTGGCACAATTAAATGTTGAGTTGCTTTCAACACGAAGTTGCATCCCAAAACATAAAAATGTCCCAACCCAACAACACAAACGAAGTTTTGTGTTTTGGGGTTAAAGAAACAAAATCATATCAAGGCCTAAAAACGCACCTAATAATTTTAATCAGAAAAAAGAGAGAAGAAAAAATAAAAGGACAGTGGTTTTCTCTAGGCCAAAACTACGACCAAATGCGTGCATTGAATATTACAATAGTTTTCAATCCCTGAGAGGCTGAGAGGGTTTTATGGCGTTTGCTTGCAACAGACTCTGATTTCTGACAGAAACATGATCCTGTTGCAATTCGCAAGCCACGTGTACTTGGATTCCCTCGAGAGAATCAACACCATTATTCTATATGATAAAGTATAAAGAATTGAAGAAATGCATAGGGATATTGAATTAAGGAGAAAGTTATATCAATATGTGCGCAACAGAGGCCAGATATTTGTGTGCAGCCGCAGATTAATTAGTAATAGAAGAAAGCAACTAATTAACAAAAAGGAAACAGAAAGAAAGTTGCAAGCACAAGCGAACAAAATACTGAGAGAGAGAGAGAGAGAGAGAGAGAGAGACTGGAGGTGTACGTATAATTACCAGAAATTCAGTAACTGCACTTATCAAGTAGATGTGATAAGTTGTGAAAAAAGCATCGGATAAGAAACCACCAAGAAGGGCCAGAAGGAAGGCTGTGCCCATGAAGTCTGTGACATTGTTGGCCGCTTTGGATGGAGATAAATGCATATACTGTGATAAGTAAAGTACCAAATTGCTTGCATTTGCCAGATATGCCAAGTTCTCCAATATCTCCGCCACTGCATATAAAAACATGCACAACACAATTCATTACATAAAGTCTAAAACTTTTGTATTGAGAAACAGAATATAATCAATCATTTCAAAAGCCCAATTCTTGTTTTTTCTGTTTTGAGGAATGAATTGAGAGATATGGATACAAACCCAAGACGAAGGAGGAGGCAAGCATGCCACCATGGCGGCCTCTGATTGCAGCTCTGTTCCTCCAGTCAACATAGCCTTCCCATCTGGTGCTCAGCTGCTGTTCTTGTTCCTACAGGATCAAAAGTCATGAGGCTTAGAAGGTGGTTCCAATAAAGGAACCCAGCATGAAAGGAAAAGTGTGAGGGATGAAAGAAAAGGAGAAAAAGAAAGAGAGAGAGAGAGAGAGAGAGAAAGAGGAACCCACCATTTTCTGTGCCTCCTTTTTTTCCCCACTTGGGTTCTAATTAATTTGGATCCTTTGGTGGCAGAGGATTTTGATTAGAAATAAAGAGTGATGACTGGTGGGAGATTTAAAGAGTGGGGGAGGATATGAGAAAGGCTCCAACTTGGGGAGAGAGAAACCTTTAGAAAATGACTTCATTTGATCCCTTTTTGAAATCTCTCCCCCATGTTACTACAGAGAATAAGCTAATTACTTTCCAACACCAAATATACATCCAATTTGGCAATAGAAATAAAGGGTAGGTTCTTAACTTTGAAACTGCTTTGGTTGAGATAGGGAAGCATCAAATCATCTTGACCTAAAAAGAAAAGAAATAGGCAAAATAAATGTAAAGGTGTAGGTGCCTCACCTTCCTAATTATGGTACATAAGCCCTTCACAGATTGGGGATGTTAAAAGGGAGGGGGGAGGGGGGGTCTATATAAATCTTAAAGTTTGCTGATCCTCTCCCCACTGTTACTAGCTCTTTTAATTTATGACTAATTAAAGAAGAAAAAAAGAACATATTCTTTCATCTTTTAATCTTTGACACAAGCATAACAATCAAATTACTTAAATAAATAGATCCCCTGGCAGAATGGAAATCCAAGTTGCATGCCAGATTGATGACCACAAAACTATTGGATATTTTTGGATTAAACTAATACCGATGGAGGATTTGAAAGTTAGTCAAATTTTAGCTTTTTAAGATCATACCTGATACCCACCACCATCACCAAAACTCATGACTCACCACTCTTACCCCTCTGCTAGTGCTACGACCGCGGACTTATTTGTCTTGATGCTAATACAAAACTCCGAAAATTATGCATATATTACCTACATTCACAAAGATACGCTTTTTTTTCAACCGATGCTACTTACCGAACTCGATAAGCGTGAAATTTTATCACAAAATATCTCGATATTGTTAATAATGAAACTACTCATATATATTATATTATCTTTGTCAAATTTTATGATATGAAACTTTACATTCTTCAATAATGCATATTACATGCATATGAAGTGAGAGCAGACGCAGAGTGTTGTGCTTGTGGTATGTATTTTGACTGTTTGATTTGTGAGGCTGTGAGTTTGTGACTCTACCACGACACTAAGCCCCCACTGTTCAGTGTTCTGGTGGACCAAGTCTGCTCGGATTAGTGTTAGAGCAAACACGTATTAATAATATTGATTTAGGTTGTCTCTATAACTTGCTACTGACCGATTCTTCCTACATATCACAATAGATAAATAGATGTTCGTTAACTTCAAGTTACATGTCTCTTCAATTAATAATTGAATGACAATTTCTGTCGAGTGACGAAGGGCTAAACGAGAGTAATTTTCGTTGTTTTTTAAATAGCATTTCATTTTCAATCTCAATATAATTCGTGGGAACTTAAAACACTAATAATAGATAAGAATCCAATTTTTGTATGTGTTTTTTATAATGGGATATTCTAAATTACTATATAATCTCCGGGAAGATGAATTTCTCAAGGAAAATGAATTTAAAATTCAAGTGTAAAGAGGCGGACATACTACCCTGACCAACGGACATAATAGTTAAAACTAACAAACAGAAATTAGGTTTAAACACAAGCATGGTGAAAAACATTGCATGTGATATGTGTAGTGTAGTTGCATATGCAGCTCGTGCTGTTTTATTAACTTGTTTCTTTTCCCAAACATGCAAAGTTTGCAAAACTGAAAGAGACAAGCAAGTGGTAAATTAATTAGCAGAAGCAACACGGGATTTCCCTTGTTCCAGAGTTTTTGATGGCTATAATTTTCAACCTGTGGCCTCTCAGAAATCATGATAAGCTAGCTGTCCTGTAATTGTGACAGAAGGTCACTGTTCAACAAAGACAATTTCGATCAATATCAATTCAAAAGGCCGTTTGGATATATGATTCTGGGAGCTAGGTTGGATCTGCTACTGCACTTAATGAATTTATCTAGAAGAAGCAGATAAAAGCAATGTTTATTCTCCAGGCATATATTCTGTATATCACCAATTTATTATCTTTATTTTTTTTTAAAAATTCTATGAATATTAATTGAAATATATCATATCTTTGAGTAAATATATATCACGATGTGTCCCCACACTCGAAGAATGAGATTAATCTCTGCTCGAGATTCGAAATTACCCAAAAATATATATAAATATATATATATATATATCATATCTTTGAAAGGAAGGAAAGTATGCGAAGGGGAAATGATATCAACATTACTTTAATGAAATGGATAAGGAGATATGCTTAATGTGTGAGGCCAAGCCAAGCCAAGGATTTGAAAATAAATCAACTCCACTGTTAAGCTGCGATCAATCTTTGACTGCAAATGTGGCCGCATTGCAAACTACAAGAACGTCCAAAATTAGTTCTTCAGTTAGATAGTAACTTGGTATTGCAACGTGGAAGCTATATATCATCGACACCAGATCATCTATGTAACATCCTTGTTTCTAATCTAACTCATCTGGACATGTTCGATGAGAATTCAAGCTCTTGCTTTAAGTAAATGAGAGAAACATGCATTAAATAAGGCTACGAATAATTAGGTAAATACAAGACAGCGACCCAAGCAAAGTCTACCCTTTTCTTGTAACCCAAAAAAGTCTACGTATCCTTTTCTCCCTTGGCTCTATTCTTTCGATATGATACATGAAATTTTTGAGAAATTTTTAAGTATAAGTGCAAATACTGTTGTTAATTTACATATTATAATACGGGTAAACGGCATAGTGATATATCAAGAACTTATAATGTAATGTTAACTAATAATTATACACAAATTAATATGCAGGAATTGATAACATATGACAGTCAAACTGAAAAATTACTAGCAAATTTGCAATATGTTTTTTTTTTTTTTTCTTTGGGCTGTATGGTTGAATTCTTTTTCAGCAGATCCACGTGCGAAGTGTGAACTGTGATCTGTGAACCCCCAGTAGTCCGGCGCATACATTGCTCCTAGTCATTTTGCTTATTTAGTCTAAGCCCCGAGGCCTAGGGCTCTCCATATATTGGACGACAGAATATAAAATATAATAAATTAAGCAATATTTACTCTTTTATGACTTCAACTTTAAAACCCTTATTCCACCAACTGCTACTAGATACAAAACCAGTTGTGTATATATATAATATATGGACAAAGTATGATACGGCGGAATTATGAAATTTTCAACGGGTGGGTTAGTTAAAATTACTATTTTAAAATGTAATAATTTTTTTATTTATTTCCAGTTTCTATAGGCTTTTTAGAAATAAAAGTATACATTAAGTCATATAAATCACACTAATTCATAACTTCATTGACTAATTTTTAATATACTTTTTTTCTTTGAAGATCTAATTATAAATGATATGGACAAAGATATTTTAAATTGTAATGACAAGTCTAATTACAGTAACGTTGATATGGTTTATCAAGAATACGCAAGAAAGGTACTTCGAATTGTTGATTCATCGCCAGAGATGGCTTAGAACCAATAGTTCATTATCCAATGGATTTTTCAGTTCTAATACTTCATCCGAACAAGCGATATTTATGGAGAGAAATCGAATCTAGAACCTTGAATGCATGGCTAAATGCTAATTTCCAATAAAGTTTAACATAAAACAAATACATATTAATGAAATCAAAAAGCACATATTATAAAATGAAAAATATGTTCAACAACATAATTGAAAGTGTACCTATTTTAATATGTATTTTTATTGATGTCTTGCAATTAAACTCATAACTAGTAATAAGTTAATATATGTTGGGCTATGTTTAAAACAAGTCAAAAATATAGGTTTGATTTTTTTAATCCCCAAGACTCCCCCCTAGGCTACAGCCCACCTTAGTCATTAAGGTAGTTCCGCCCATGAAGGTATGTATTATTACGTACATATAGACAAGTTGTATATTATATTTTTCATGAGTGTGTGTTATTGATTTGTTGTTGTGAAATAGACAAGGTATGAGAGTATCACTTAACATTGGAGTGAAATTGTATTTGCTCTTGTAATATTACACATATAGAACTTTCTCTCGGATTTCTCTATTCTCACTAAAATTGTTTTACTATGAGTTTCTCACTTGGAATTGTATGTACTCTTGTAGTAAAACATACATAACTCTCTCTCGGATTTCTCTGTTCTCACTAAAACAGTTTAACTATGAGTTTCTCACTCTCTTCAGATCAGTGTGTTACTCTTCCTCAGTTGATTGAGGATCCCTTTTATAGGCAAAGGTGACAACTACCGCCATGAATTAATTCGATCTGCAATTCGCGGGATGTTGTAAACATTTTCCACACTTTGCCTTGACTCTAGCCTTTTCACTTTCACATACAATGCACAAAAGATTTGAATTTCAAAAATAGATATACCATTTGCCAAATAGATCACAATATGCTGGTTTGATGGCGCAACAGGGAAATGACAATTTCTTCGAGGATAAATTTAGAACACTCCACCTGATAATAACAAAAGATGCCAAAGAAAAATAAAAAAAATAAAAAACATATAATACAGAACAGACGATGTTGTTTCAAATACATGAAAGATAACCAACCAAAGCTTGATAGAATCTGTCATATATTCTCCTTGTGTATTTATGTGGTCCAAAATCAAATCCAAATAGAAAACCAACAGTATTGTTTAAATCAAAGCCGGTTCATTAATTTTGGAAGCCCTATGCAAATATGGATGTCGAGGCCCTATATATACAAGTAGGAAAAAAAAATCCATATAGAAACAAAAATTTCTGACATGGGAAGAACACATTCGGAAAGAGCTTCCTAGAAAAATTTCTTTAGTCACCCTTCCAAATCACAGAGCTACTAAATTGATTTTCCAATTTCAATGCTTGGTGAATTCTCATGTGAATAAGGGAGGGAGAAAAGAACTGTGATTTTGGGGAAATGACTAAAGCTTGGGTTTTTACAATCCAAAATTTGATGGAAGAGGGTGGTACACTGGTACTTAAGAGAAATGACTTTATTTCGATAGAGGAGAGTGAGAAAAACTTACTGAAAGATAAAAGAATATTATAATGGTTTTGCAGTTTGAGAGTTGGGAAGAGGAAAACACATGTTTCAAACCATAATAAATAAATAAAAAGAAGAGTTGCAGCGTGAGAGTTGGGAAGAGGAAAATGAATTAAATTAAGGCATCTACTCTCTAAGTCGTAGAATTTGTTGATAATTAATATTCAATTCAGTTTTGGTTTTGGTGCCTTGCATGTGGTATTGTGGGGTGATATTTAATATTTCATTTTATTTTCATATTTTAGTTAATTTAATGGGTTGACTTGGAAAAATTTGGAGGCCTC